CTGGGTGTTGTGAATTACATTTGTGTTGGTGCTTGAAGTTATGCAGTTGGGAGCTCCTGGTCCAGAAGTTGGATGTGGCAGCGAAGGAGATTATTTATGCTGTTCAGGATGGACTGAGGAAGTAAGGGCTTGTTTTTGTCAGAGTGAATCTCAGATGCACCTCAATACAGGGAGGTTGTCCAGTGTTAAGGGTTTCTTCATAGACTTACCCAAGTCATGCCAATGCACGTTTGGTAAAAGTACTGCTGTACTTGGTACAGTTTGGAGCAGCACAGGGACCAGACCCAGTGCCTGGCTTTTCCCCTCCAGAAGATCGAAGTTCTGGGGCAAGACAGAAAGACGAAGAGATGGTTTCAGTTTGTGTGTTACGAGTGCTCTGGTAGGCACAAGCACATCACATCTGCACGCTGTAAAAGACTTGAAGGAAACACGTATGCACCCTTAGTCCCGTGCATTCCCAAACAATGCAGCATGGAAATTGCGAAGTTAGCTATGTAAATGGTAGGGGGATCCCTTCCTTTTATGATTTTTGCTCTCCAGAATTCCTTTAAATGAAAGTCTTCCCTTGTGCATTGGATGCATTATCTATGCCTAGCTTTTCGGGAACAAGTACTTGGTAAGTCAAGGACTCTTGGGTGTGATAATAACTGCCTTCAGTATTAGGTACACGAAATCTGTGTGATGCGAGGCCTTGGTGTTACTGCAGACACTCGTAATCACCTGTATCACCTTTAGGTACGTGCAGCAGTCCAGTACAGCGTTCTGCTTGGGGGAAACTTTGGGCAGAGTGAACTGACACTTTTTATTTTGTTACTATTCCTTATTAAACAGTAGTGTTTACATTGACCCATTTTTTTTTTTTTTTTGGTTTTTCTCCGGTACCGAGAACTGAACTCACGACCTTGCGCTTGCCAGGCAGGCGCTTTGCCGCTGAGCTAAATCCCCAGCCCATTGACCCATTTTTGACATTTTAAACTTTTTACCGTGTTGTGTGGTGCTGTGCTTCATCCTGGTTTTTTTTTTTTTTTTTTTGGTTTTTTTCTGGTACCGGGAATCGAACTCACAACCTCGCGCTTGCCAGGCAGGCGCTGTGCCGCTGAGCTAAATCCCCCGCCCTTCGTCCTGTTTTAAATGAGAGACCTAGTGTTGGTCAGACCCCAGGCCGGGCTGGGCTGCAGTGTGGGGCTCGCCCTGCTCCGCACGCTGACTGCGCACCTGTTCCACTCTCTTCCAGTCTTCACTGTTGAGCGCCGTGCTCGGGGAGCTGCCCCCGAGTCAGGGGCTGGTCACCGTGCACGGGAAAGTCGCCTATGTCTCCCAGCAGCCCTGGGTGTTCTCTGGAACTGTGAGGAGTAATATTTTATTTGGGAAGAAGTACGAAAAAGAACGATATGAGAAAGTAATAAAGGCTTGTGCTCTGAAAAAGGTGAGTCATGACTTTTGAATTTCATAAACTCCAATTTCCAGTAGTATTCTTGGTAGTTTAAACGACTTTCACAAAAAGTTTATGCTGAGAGGCTTTTGAGTTTTATCTCATACTTAGAGCCAGCCTTGTGGGAAAATAGGTGCACGTTGCTCTAACACTGATGTGACGGTGACATTCATAGGATGCATTTTGGAGGGTCACTTTGGTTTTGTGAAGTTCTGTTCACTTTTGACTTGTTTTTAAAATCGGACAATTGCAAAAGTTTGTCAGAGTGTGGAGAACAGAGTACCAAACCCTCATGTGCTCGTTGCCAGCTTCAAGCGCGGCTTCCTGGTGGGCAGCCTGGTGCCACCTGCACCCCCAACCTTTGCAAGCCGCACCCTCTGCACCCCAAATGACTCTCTTCCAGATCCAGAACTTGTGGACGTCCTTATTTGTCTTTGAAAGATACGAGTCTTTCTGAAAATAACATTATCACGCCTAAAGAAACGAGAAAATTCCTTGATACAGCAGCTTTCCACAGGCAGCGTGTTTGGGTCTTTGCTTCTTACTGAGAAGCGTCATTGCCCGCGATTGAGTCAGCCTCCAGACAGGATCTGCGCCGCTCGCCTAGTTGATGGGCTTTTTGAATCTTTATGCTTCTCTCCCCACTTTGTTTTCAACTCATACTTCATTGTTTTAAAGACAATGAAAGAGGGGCTGGGGATTTAGCTCAGCGGCGAAAGCGCCTGCCTGGCAAGCGCAAGGTCGTGAGTTCGGTTCCCGGTACCGGAGAAAAACCAAAAAAAAAAAAAATAAAAAAAAAAATAAAGACAATGAAAGATTTAAAAATTTCTTCCTGGTACTGCATCGTTTCACCAAGTGAAACATTGTTCTCAGAAACGATATTTGAGTATCACAGAAAATGAGAAGATGAATTATTTTATTGAACATTGGGGTTTGCTTGCATAAAATGGGGGGATGATTGAAAAAACGGACGTATCTGATAGGTGAATGCAAGTTAGCGAAAGGACAAAGGGCAGATACTGATAAACACTGTTCCCCTCTTTGGAGTATAAAACTTGGCAAATAATGGCGCTAAAGGGCTCTCCGCTGTGTCTCTTTGGTGTGGCTCAGACGTCCGGCTCTTCTTTTGTATTCTGGAAAAGGCTGGACAGACTTTCAAAGGTGGGGGATGTCAAGGCCCCTAGACAGCTTTGTGAGGAAAGCATAATTTTGCTTGAACAATGGCTTGAATATCACAGATTGTATTGGTGAATAGCATTTTATGATGATGTGGACAAAAAAATAATTGCTTGTTTCATGAACTTCTATTGCCTTCTCCTAGGTTATTGTGAATGAGAGAGAATGTGTTTTCATAAATGGCATCAAGTCAGTAATGATGAGCTAGAGTTTTGTTAAATAGCATATCCCCTGGATGGGAAAAGAAGGGGAAAGCAAAGAGAGCACAGTAATAATAATAGGACCCATTTTTCAGTCCACCAAGTGTTAATTCTCCATTCTCGTCATTGTCTCTTTTTGCACACAAAGGTGTATGATTTTTCATCTACCACAATTGCCCAGTCTCCTTTTCAGTTGTTATTTTTATCAGTACATGTTTGCATTGCATAGTGATTGCGTTTCTTCTAGGGAGTTGGTACGTGCACACAGCACAGCTCAATTCTTCCATCCCCTCCGCCTCCTACTCCCTCTGCTTCCTCCCTCCATCTCTTGACCCCCTTCCCACTTGAAAACAAATCTGTCTCCTTACTTCCTATTATCTATCTTCTATTTTGCCCTTTATTTATGTTTTAGGTTTCTTGTATAAGAGAAACCATGGGGTGTTTAAACTTGTGTCTGACCTATTTCACTGAATGATATGATCTTCAGTTGCATCTCTTTTCCTACAAATACCTCAGGTTTATCCTTTATGACAGAGTAGTGTTCCAATGTGTGTAAATACCTCATTTGCTTTATGTAGTCTTCCGTCAGTGGACATATAGGCTGCATCTAAGATTTAGCTATAAGGGATTGTGCTGCTATCACCTTGCGTGTGCATGTATCACTGTAATACGATGTCTTTAACTCTTTCAAGAAGATACCTAGAAGGGGAAGGGCTGGGTCCAATGGAATTTCTTTGTGGTTTTTGAGTGCTGGGATTACAGGAATGTGACACTATACCTGGCTTGATTGTCATGAATGTATTTTCTCTCAATCAACCTGTCAGCAGGGTAAGATAAGGGTTTCTCTTTATAGTTTCTCTTTAGCCTCTTTCTCAAAACAACCTGGAAGAAGAACAAAAGAAAACCCCCCCAAAGTAAGATTTTTCATATTAGATATAATGATAGCAACTAGATGTATTAAATTAGTGCTAATTGAAGGAAATTTTTAAGTTCATTGAGCTGAAAATATTCCTGAGATCAAAAATGAGATATGAAGTAATAATTCACATTTAAGCTGATTACATATTCAAAGTGACATCCGACTGACTTACAGAACACACCTTTGGGAAACAAGCTAAGAGTATTAGTGCTTTGGGGCAGTGGTTAAAATCCAAAGCTCTAGGGTCAGATGCTCTAGGGTTGAAACTCAGTTTCTCTTCAGTGGGCATCTTTTTGAGTAATAGCCTGAACTTTTCAAAGCCTTATTTTCTCCATCTGTAAAATGGAGACAATATTGAAGGACTCTGTAAGGTGAACCTTTTAGAAATGAATGCCCAGACTGTACCTCAAAACCCACATATTTATCGCAAAGTACCAAGACTGCAGTTAGACCTGAATACTGAGATTTTTAGTGTGGAAAAACAGCTCATACATTAACATATTTCCTCTTAAAAGAAAAACACATTAACATGCATGCCATAGGTGTTCATACAGGTACCTCTTTTGATTCCCACGGCATCTTAGGAGGTTAGGAGTTATTCTTCCTCCAGGACATTTTATAGATGAGGACTCAGGGAGCTCAGAGGACCTCCTTTTCATGGGGAAGCCAGTGTGCCGTTTGCTCTGTCCCCACGTTTGTCAGAGTTGAGGTAAAGAAATGAAGGTTGATCTGTAAGAAGGTTATTGCTGTCGAGCGTGTGCTTGACATTTATGAAAGTAATGAAGAGATGACAGTCTAGGACTCGTCTGTCCAGTTGGTACACAGCAAATTCTCTTTGGCCTTGATGTTTGATTCTTTGATACTTTTTGATTCTATCAGAGATATTTCTAATAGAATATTGCATACCTTTAACCTGATGGTTATCCTGTCTTGTCATTGTTTTTAAAGGTTAGCACCTTGTCAGTTTACTTCTTAAATAATGCTCCAGTGTAATTTATCATTTTAGGCTGGCTGGCCCCCATAATCTGCTTAGTTCAACTGATCTGCCCAGTGTCCCTTGAAGACAGTTTCTTTTCCTTTGGTTTCCTTTGCCCAGGCTGCTCCTCCTGCTCCTACTTCTCATGTAGGTGACGCTTGTCACTCTGTGGTGCCTTAAGTGTCACTGGGAGTGTCATCCCTCACTGGAAGTGGGAAGCTGGGGTAGCATCAGCAGAATGGCTTGTGGAGGAAGACGCACCTGTTCCCTGGTGAAATAAGTTCTGGGTCCTGAGGCGTCGTGTGCATGTTGAGAGCCCTCTCAGTGTTCGTTCATCAGCACAGATTTTCAAGCCTGTGTGTCATGCAGTGCCTCCATTTGGCTGTGACCGGATTCATCCCCTAACTGGGCATCCACCGTCCTCCCCAGCTCAGTCAGTGGCGACTCTGTGCTCTTTGCCAGGCCGAAAGCAGGGTAGTCCCCCTCTTCTCTCATTGCTCACTCTCACCCCGTCAGCAGTACGAAAGGCGCCACCTTCAGAGTTTGCCCAGGATGTGACCAAGTCTCTGCGTTTCTGTGCTCTCACTCAGGTCCAGGCCACTGTCACTTCTCACCTGCACTGTGCTGACAGCTCCTAACTCGTGTCGTTCTTGCTCCGGGCCGCTTCACCATCTCTTTTCTGCAGAGACAGGAGTGATTCCTTCAACAACCTGACCCAGGTCGTGTCATTCTCCCCATTTTGCTGGGAGTGAAAACATGGCACTTCATCTCCCGACACCTCACGCTGCTGCAGCACCGCTGGCCTCTGAGTCGCTGTTCTTTGCACACCGGGGCCTGCGTGTGCTCCCCGGCTTTGCCTCGCTTCTTCTGCATAGCCCTCGTTTTCCTCATCTGTGGGGCCACCCCACCCTCCAGCAGATCCATAGCTGAGCCCCCTGATCAGAGCCCTCATCGGCTACTGGTATAAAGCGAGCCTCCCCTCCAGCACTCGGTCCCCCTGCACTCGCTTCCTCTTCCTTCGTGCTCGTCACCACGTTCATCTGTGTCCGTTTTCACTGCATTGTCTCCCCTCATGGAGATTGGGGACCCCGTTTCTTCCACAGCTGAAGTCACTGTGCGCAGAGCAGTGCCCGGCCTACAATTCCTGCCCAAAGAGTTGAATCTATTGAAGTAGGTACATAAATACTGTGAAAAACCACAATGTTAAAACGCCTTGAGGATTTTTTTTGAGAGGTTCAAAGTTACCGTTAGAATTAGAAATACAGCCATTACTGCTGATCAGATGTATTTCTGAAGACGTCCTGCTGCAAAGTTTTGGATGGCGGTGGCAGAATCACTCTAGGTCTTTTCCCCCCTACTCTTCTCTTGCTGCTTGTAGGATTTACAGCTTTTACAAGATGGGGACCTGACGGTGATAGGAGACCGGGGAGCCACACTGAGCGGAGGGCAGAAAGCACGAGTGAACCTCGCAAGGTAAACTGCTTTTGCACGGCCATCTGCCTGTACCTCTCCCACTGCGTCCACCGGGGGAACAGGTAGAACTTGCCTCCTGGGTGCTGGATCCCATGTGAGGCCCTGGTTTCCGGTTATCCCCTTGGTGCTCACAGTGGACATCTCATCTGCGAATGTCCTTATGGTGCCCAGGAGAGGGCTGGGGAGTGGGAGGGATTCTTCTAATGCCTCTTCTGCTTTCTAGAGCTGTCTATCAAGACGCTGACATCTACCTCCTGGACGACCCACTCAGTGCAGTAGATGCAGAAGTTGGCAAGCATCTGTTCCAGCTGTGAGTGTGCTTGTATCTTTTGTCTTTTCTGCACTCAGGAGCCCTGCTAGGGGGGCCAGGAGAGGCTTTGTAGCTTCAGAGGATTCCCCCTGTCTTGTATCCTACCCTCACCCTGCCCCTCACAGAAGATTCATTTTACAGAAAACTTGTGCATGAATGCAAGGTCAAGGTAAGGAAGTGCAGAAGGTGATGCCAGTGTTGAAGAGAGCCGCGCATGCGTGAGGGAGCTAAGAAACGGAGAAAATTTGGCGAGTTTTTGCCTTGGTCCTTGAAGTTGATAACTAAGACATTGTCAGTGGATTCAGACCCAGGAATAAGAAAATGTACAATTTTTAAACCAGAGAGTGGTATTTGGCAGCCTGGTGCTGGGCTCTTCGTTCTTTTCCTCTGTCATTTGTGAATGCTGAGTGATCAGTGAGGTCTTCAGTATTAATGCAGGGCTTCCGGGAAAAGCCTTCTGGGCTTGTGCTTGTTACTTTGTAGGTTCAGAAATAATTAGTAAAGTCTAGACTTTAAGAATGATTTGCTCCATATCAATATGGTTTCAAGAACTTCATACTTTTTCACAGATTTCTACTAGTATTAACGCATAAGGCCACAGCTGGCCAGGGTTAGCTTGCACCTGAAGCTGGGTCTCTAGGATCTGTATTAGTTCCTCACTCTCAATATTCCTGCAGTTCGTTTTCATTGGCTCTTGCTTAGCCACTGAGCCAGTGAGAAGACTTCGGAGCCTTTTCGGTGTGTGCTGTAACCTAACATATGCAGATGGACACTTGCTGTGTATTCTAAACTGGTCTTTGAAAGCAATGAACTTGATTTTGATAAAACAGCATCCAGATCTGTACCTAGTCCTCTTCCTGTTTGTGGTTCACCTTGTTAAGGCTAATGAGCCCTTTCATCTGCAATGGTGAGGCCCCTCCTGTGTGCACTGAGACAGACGTTCTGACAGATGTCTCAGCACAACACATCCTAGTCTACCAGGGAGGGGCAGTAAGCCACAGAGAAGTTAAAGACCCATGGTGGGCAGAGTAAATGAGACAGAGAAGTTTAGATCACAGTTTTACCCTAAAGATTTTTCTCTGCATGGATTAGATCAAGGCAAATGCCTGAGGAAACTCACCATACCCTGGCATTGAGGGTTTTAGTGCAGGAGGCCTGTGCCGGACCAGAGAAGTAGGCAGCTCTAGGCATTCAGCTGAGATCCGGAAGATCAGCTTGTGCTGGCTTTGGTGGGGAGTGGCCTGTGGCCTTGCTGGCTTGGTTGGAGAGGTTTAGAAAGGCTGGGATCGGGTGTTAGTTCCTTTTGGTGAGAAAAATAGTAAAGGCAGAGATGTTGAGATGGCAACAAGCAAGGCTCAGGGAGAGAGCAGCAAGCAAGCAAGTGTCCCTCAAGCAGATGGTAGAGAAAGTGTATGGAAATGCTAGTGGTTGTGTAGCTCAGGCTACCAAAGCAAAAACCCCACAGACGGGGTGGGTTAAGTGGCAGAAATTTATTCTCTCACAGTTTTGGAGGTTGAAGGCCTGAGGCCAGGGTGTTAACAGCTTGGGTCCCTCTTGTTGGCTTGCTGACACTGCCTTCTTGCTGTGTTCTGGAATCCTTTCTTCCTCCTGTACCTGCGTTCAGAGTTCCCCTTCTTGTAAGGGTATCAGTGAGGTTGGACGAGCCCCCGCCTCCCAGCCTTATTGCAGTTTAATTACCTCTGTAAAGGTCCTACCTCCAAATGACAAGTCGCTGGGGTTGGGCTTCAGCATACAAATTTGAGGTGGGAGCGTTCAGTCCATCTTGGGGCACTAGATAGCAAAATAAAAGTAGAGATTGGAGCAGAGTGAGAAGAACACAGCCTCGGGCTCTGGCTTGTAGGGGCTGGGGACGCGAGGTCATCTACTGAGCATGGTATTTGGTGGAGGGGTGGGAAGGGTAACAAAATGTTTCCCCGGTGGAGGGAGGGTGTAAAATATGCCTGGTATTGGGTGATAAAAAGAGTTTTGGAAGTGGACGGTGGTGAGACCTCCTGGTGGGACGCTACAGCAGTCTCTTGGGAGGGGAGAGGAAAGCATTCTGATTGCTAGGTATCAATATGCATCTCCTAGGAGCTCCCCCAAGTTTTCCTTTAGACACGGAGGTGTTTATAAAGTCCTTCCGCACCTTTAAGGTTTAATGACTCTGGATATACACTTGATAGAAGCAAGCTTGTTAAAATTGTTGTTTGCTAATCAGAACCACATTCTTTGGGGAAACTTAGAGCAGGGAGCACGAATGCAATTTAGGAAATCACTCACCAGCAACTGGAGAATGCTCTCAACGAGTTAGAAAATTGGATTGAACAATATACTATGAACGATGGCGGTTGTGTTGACGCTTAGAGATGTGAAGTGTTTTGTATTAGAAGTGAATGAATTACACTTCTGTTTGCCATTAACAGTTTTACTTCAATCACGAATATACATCCAAGGTTATTAAGGTTTGTGAGTTTTACAACTATATGTTAGGAACATGAAGTGGATTCTATCTATTCTGTGGAAGGCTAGGGGCTTTCAGATGAACCGATGGCTGATCCGTTGCTGCCTGTGACTCTTGTTGTATTTTAGAAAGCCTCAAATTCCCAGACCCCTGTCTCCCCCAGGAGCAGTTCTTCCAGGCTGTTGTAATGAGATCTCCCACACTGCTGGCTGCCTTAAGTCTGTTCAGGCTGCTGCTGTGACAAACTACCATAAACGGGGTGGTTTATGAACAACAGAAGTTTTATTTCTCGCGGTTCCGGAGGCTACAAAGTCCGAGGTCCAAGTGCCAGTGGCTTTGGTGTCTGTAAACCACAGAGTTTTTCTTGCTTTATCCTCAGATGTTTGAAGGAGCATGGCAGATCCCTTGGGCCTCTTGAATAGGGGCACCAGTTCCATTCGTGAATACGTGTTCCCAGGGAAAGGCCCCACCTCCTCACACCACATTACACGAGTTCCAGGAGGAACAAGAGCATTCACAGCAGTCATTCACCTTCCCTGCTTCAGCCCTTGATGGTCCCCACTGCTTCCGTTCAGGATGCAGTTTGAAGTCCTCAGGTGGCAAATGAGTTCTTTGCAATCCGCCCCTTTCACTTTCCCACCTTCCTTGCACAAGCTGACACTCCAGCCGTGCCACCTGCCCTTTCTTCTGTCTTCCGCTCTGTGCAGTGTGTTCATTCCTGACTCAGAGCTGGGGAACCTTGTGTGAGGGCAGAGGAGAAAGAGGATGGATGCAGACCGGCCGGGCCACCTTTCCCTGCTGGCTGCCCCAGCCCTCAGCTGTGGTGTGCATCACATCTGTGTGCCTGCCCCGCACCCCCACTCCAGTCTGGGAATGCAGAACCTTCCCATCCTGCACAGTCTCCTGTGTCACCTCGCAGAGAGGTCATTCCCGACGGTCTGCTCTCCATAGCACCTCTCACTGAGCTTTCTTCATAACCCACGTCGCAACCTATCAGTGCATTTGCCATGCATACTGCTGCGTCTCCTGTCTGTGCTGTGGGGTGTTGTCTGATTGTGTATCCTCAGCACTTAGTGCCCGGCACACTGCGTCCTTCTGGGCAGCTGTGTGTCAGCCCATATAATGGGCAGATTTTCCTCACTGCTGAGGAGGGCCTTTGTGGCTTGTGTGGGTCTTTCTTATTTGTATTACCTCTACTGTAATCTTGTCAGCTCTGAAGAGCCCTTGATAGGATAAGAATTAAATGACACATTGCCAAACTAATTGGTATTTTTGTGGCTTGGCCAGGCACAGTGATACATGGCTATAGTTCTAGCTGTTCAGGAGGCTGAGGCAGGAGGATCACTTGAGTTCAGAGTTTGGAGCCAGCATGGATACATAGTAAGGCCTTGTTTCTTAAAAAACAAAAAACAAAACTAAACCAAACCTTCTAATGTCACAACTTGGAAATTTTGAGTACTAACAATTTAGAAAGGGTTTTTCCTTTAAATTTGAAAAATACCTAATTTAGGAAAAACTTAAAGCCAACTATTACAATATTATTGTAAGTGTTTATATTATCTTGTCCATGATATTGGAAAAGAAACACTTTGAAGCCTCTGCCTTGGCCTTTTCCATCATCCATCCATTAGATGTGAGTAATATCTCCCTTCAGATATTTACATAAAGGGATGAGGGGCGGGTAATTTTGAATGAAGGAGGAAGAATTCCTTTCAAAGCTTGAGTCCCACATGTTGAAAAGTTGAGTTTGAAATAACCCAAACTAGGACTTTTCCACTGGGAACAGCCAATCCCTTTGGATGGAAAGAATGAAAGGATAGTTCTGGCATTTGCAATCTGGAGTCTTGGCTCTGGTCAGAGGCCCTGTCCTAAAAATTACATTTTGTGTATGGCTTTTCAAGCCTAAGTTGAAAGCAGTCAGCTGTTTGGTTCAAAGGAGAGTGGAGGGCGGGGCTGTTTCTTGACTGTCAGTTATGTTCCTTATCCTTTTCATAGACTGTGCTTCTCCTCCTCAGAATGTGCCTGTGGGTGGACATTAGCTCTGTTCTGAGGTGAAGAAACGGAAGGTCCCAAAGGTTTGGTCACTTGCCGACGCTCCTGGGCTGGGTTGTGAAGCAGCTGGACTCTGTGTTTCTCTGGAACTCGTGATCTGATCCACCTCAGGGTGTGGTGTCCTGGCTCCGTTCCTGCTCTGCTTTGTGCAAGGCCTGGGAGCCCGAGTATCAGCAGGACCCTTGCCTGTGGTCCCTGGCCCGGTCCCCTTACCTGAGCGTGCAGCTGGGCCTGCTCTTCTGGGGTCCTGCGTTTAAAATCTAGGAGCACTTTGAAGGGGGTCACTGCGAAGTGAGTCTAAGGTCAAATCCCCAAGGTATGTCTGCCCTCGCAGCCATGGGGTGGTTTTCATTATGACTTGGACCATTTGGATTCTGCTTTCTCATTTTCATACTGGGAAGATTTTAGTCCTAACGAGATAAATTTCTCCCAAAATGGGGCTGGAAGGACTGCGGCGACTGACTCTGGCCTCAGGGGTGTTTGTTTTTCTGTCCGCCGTTACTTGGAGAGAAGGAACGAGAGAATGCACTTGGGTAAAGGTTGCCGAGAATGTAAGGCAAAAGCGGTTCGATGCATGCGTACAGCATAATCAGGTTGGAAACAGTCTGAGGAAAGCAGCTACATTTTTATGTGACATCAGCCTGTCTTTCCCCGTCCCTATCTACCTGTAAAATAACTCGTATTTGAGTTAAGTCAGGTTTCAGAATCTCAGTATTGCTAAACTGCTTTTAATCATGAAATATAAAAATGAGTTTTACCAAAACAGAGGTAGCAGCCAACATCTCTTCTGCTGGACTGCTTTTAAGAATGTGTTAGCAGAGAAGCAAGACTCCGATTTTGTGCTGGTGAACTGGAGTCCGCAGTTGGCTCCATTGATTGGTATTTGTATTTACTTTGTATTTACTTCTGTATTTGAAGTTTGAAGCACCTGCACTAATGTGTATTTTCACACTGGACTTTTTACATTCGTAGGTGTATTTGTCAAACCTTGCATGAGAAGATCACAATTTTAGTGACTCATCAGTTGCAGTACCTGAAAGCTGCAAGCCATATTCTGATACTGAAAGACGTAAGTAATTTTGAGACGTTTGCTGCACTGCCGAGTCCTTGGGTGTGTTGAAGGAAGCGTCTCTCAGCAGGTTACCTGCTGTGGGCTTCTCTGGAGACTTTCTCTTCCTCAGTTTTGTATCCCTTTCTTAGAGCTGGGATTCATGTCCTTGAGAAGAAATTCATGTCCTTGAGAAGAAATTCATGTCCTTGAAAAGAAATTCAAAGGACTTGTAGAAATGTCACTGTTACATTCCAAAACATACCACCCTAAAGTATATAACATTGCTCAACTACAACTGTTACAGTGACATAGTTAATAGTGGTGCTGTGTTCTTTAGAAATTTGTCTCCTTTTTCCAAGACTCAAGCCAAAGTGGATTATTTGGAAATTACAGATATAAGACACGTTTGCGCCCATTCTGTAGTTACCCACAGTTCACCTGAAGAGCATCTTTATTAATAGCAGCACCATGGTTGTGTGGCTGAGAGTCCCCTGCTCAGGGTACCCACCTGGTCTCTCTGCACAGGTCCTGTAAGTGCCTGATGGGACCACAGCCTGCACAGCCATTAGGAAGACAAAGCCCGCACCTTTGCAGGGCTTCCCTTCTTTCCAGGGATGGATGTGGTGAAGGGGGAGGGGTGGCCACAGGGACCCGAGGGACAGGACACGAAGGTGCCTGCCATGCTGTCACTTGGGGGAGGAGCATCTGATGCGGGGAGGCTGGCCTGCTCCTGAGGAAGGACGTCACTGTGCATCTTTGGAGGAATGCAGGGGCCCCGGGCTAACTGGGCTGAGTGAGGCAGGGAGGCAGTGGAGGCAGGTGCCTGAGAGCACGGGGCAGGAGCCCTGGACCTGAGACAGAAGCTGTGGTGTGGTCCAGAGCAGGGAAGTGATGTGGGCTGACTTGTGATTCTTTTTTTTTCAATTGTAGTAGGGTGTGAACCCAGGACCTTTGCACTGAGCTACATCTTTAGTTTTTTATTTTTTATTTTGAGACAAAGGCTCAGTAAGTCACTAAGTTTGTCAGGCTGAGCTCAAACTTCCAGTTCTCTTGCCTCAGTCTCCCAGAAGGCTGGGATTAGGCATGAAGTCACCATGCCCAGCCTACTGTGTGACTTTTAAAAGGTCCCTCCTGGTGTTCTGTGGAGGGGCTACCGCAGAAGCAGAAGTCTTTGTAAGGGCACAGAGGTGTGGGCTTGGGTGAGTATATTGGATTGATTGGCTGCCAGAACAAAGGGGCACAGCCCTGGTAGCTGAAGCAACAGGGAATGATTGTCTCTTGCTGCTGGAGCGCACAAGCCTCAAGTCAGGACCGTGGTGGGCCTGTGCGCTGTGGGATGAGGGATCTTCCTTGCCTCCTCCACCTCCTGGTCTTTTGCTGGCAAACCTTAACCGCTTACTTGTTTAAATGCAGGAGGACTAAAAATTGCATTTTTTGGTTAATCTTTATAAGATGACAGGCAATATAAAATGACGTTTTTATCAAATGTATTCAATAATTTTTTTGTGTATGGTAAACCTTAAAATATTCAATATGTAACACAGTGGTACCATCTGGACAGTAGATCTGATCTCTTTCCAAATGCTTTTTGCATTATTGTCTCTCTTTGAACAACATGCTTTACACTGTCTTGTTGGCCTTTCCTTTTTTTCTTTGGGTGGCATAGTTTCAGTAAAATGTCTATGCTCAACATAACGGTAAAGACATCGATGATGAACGTCCTGGTTGGTGTTTCACTCGTCTATATTTTTCAATTACTTGATCTTATTAGACCTAGTCTAAATTGTAAACGACTTTTTAAACCCCCTTATTTTGAATAAATAACAAAAGAGTTCCATATTGTTTGGCCCAAAAGTGCATGAATAGTTTATATTTTTTCCTTGCTTTTTGACTACAGGATAGCTTGTTAGATGTTGGTTAGCACTGTCAATACCACCCATGGAATTATTACAATCATTGATCACTGTTGGAATTTTCTTAGTTTCATTTCTTTTTTCAAGTCCTGTCATTTCTGTGTTATGCGTAGTTGGCAGTAAGGAGACGCCTGTTTTGTCTTTGCATTTCGGAACACAGGCTTTTCCTCTCTGATAGGCTAACATTTCTCCCTTCTTTAGTTTTTTCTTTTGCAGATCTTTTGGCATTTCCTACCTGGTCACTCTCAGTGTCCCAATGTAAAAGAATATCACTGAGTTCTGGAGAAGTATCAAAATTATATCTAATGTACTTACGATAAGAGTTTTTATAGATTGTAGCACAAAATTAAAGGTTATTTTTCACAAATAAACACAAATTAATAGAAGACAGTAACTAGAAATTACTAGATCTCACTAGAAATGAACGTTAAAGGCAAATACAATGTTCTACATAAAAAAATTATGCCAAAAGTAGTTAATGTAAAATAGTGTATCTCCTGCAAATAAGAATTGAGTAGTTGAAATGACCCTGCCCAAGGATGCTCGGGATAGTCTGTACATAAACGTGCTGCCTGAGTGACTCTCAGAATAAAGTGTCATGCAGTTAATGTGGTTTTTTTTTGTACCAGGAATTGAACTCAGGACCTTGGGCTTGCCAGGCAGGTGCTTATGCTGTTGAGCTATATCCCGGGCCCCATGTCATGCAGTTAATGTTCTTTAGCTTGGAGCTTTGGCACTTGCTGTCTGCCTCCCTTCTCACGTGGGCTGGTCTGTGTCCATCAGGGTTCTTCTAAGGACATCATTCATGTTGGGCTTAAGATTCACCGACTCTGGAATGATTTCGTATTAATTTGATCACATCTGCAAAGATCCTATTTCCAAATAAGGTCACATTCACCCATATTAGGATTTAGGACTTGAACGTAACTTTTTGGGAGCCACCAATTAACCTAGGCCAAGGTAGCTGCCTTGGGGAGGTGGAGGTTAGTGCACCTTTGACAGATGCCGTGATGGCTTGATGCTTGGCTTGTTTGCCTGTATGCCCCAACGTCCCTGTCTTTACTGCTCACCTTTGCAGCAGGTCCTGGGTTACATCCCGCATCACGAGTCAGAGACCATCTCTTTAGTACCTTCCACTGTTTTAATATGTCCTCTCTGTATTCATCCGCTTTGAGTTACCACAGTGAAATACCTGAGGCAGCTAACTTCATAAAGACGCAGCATTTGTTTAGCTCACAGTTGCCAGGGGTGTGTTACCTGCATGGGCTTGGCTCTGGAAAAGGGCCTCCTAGCTGTCATCACATTGTAGCACAGACCCATGCGTGGGGAAGTGCTGACATTGCCAAACAGGAAGTCAGAGAGACTGAGGTCCCACACTCCCTCCTCAGGGTACATCCTGTGACCTAAGGGGCTGCCCCAGGCCAAGCTCCTAAAGGTTCCACCCCTCCCAGTAGGGCCACCCTGGGCACCAAGCCTCTAATCCCAGTGGACCCTTGAGGAACACAAACTGTATCTAAACCCTCGCACCCTCCCACAGCCTCTTGGTGAAAAGGTGGAAATAGCAAATAGTAAATGCAGACTTCAGTTTGCAATGTCTGTGAGCACTTTCTCAGAAAAGTGCACGTTATTGCAACAACCAGGATATACAGCGGTAGCAGAGTTCTTGCAGAAGTCTTTTAAGTGCCTTCTTAATACTGAGTGTGGCCTTTAAAGAACAGCGAGGAACCTGTCACTCGAAGCTCCATCAAGTGACTTCTCCCCCCAAGGAGGATTAGAAAAGGCAGAATTGCTACCTCTTCAGAAGCATCTCTGTGTGTCGGCTCTTTCCAGTTCCCCCAGGAATAGGGAGCTCAGAATCCTCAAACTTGAAAACAATTAATTTCTTGTGCAGCAGGGTGAAACTAGGGTGCTCAAAGCCGGGTGTCTGTAATATTAGAGCGCAGAGTCAGTGAGGGAACAGCCATGTTGCTGGTCCCTTAATGGGGACTGCTTTGGGGGTCCGGCATCCTGCCTGATGTGAGGACGCCTCCCAGTTTTACTACTTCCAAACAGCTGTTTATCCACTGTCCGACACTGGGAGAACTGGGGCCCGGCCTTGCTGTCGGTCTGACCCGTCTCTCACAGCAGAAGGGATTTCGGCCCCTCCAGCCCCTCTGGGAATTCTCGGCATTTGGCCTCTTGGGAAAATTGCTCTCCCAGTACCCCTAGTAGTTTCCTTTTGTCTTATGGATTCTAAGTTAATTTCATGAAACAAGTGTGTGCATTTTACTTTGTAAGTGGAACAAGACAAAGTATATGAGGAATCATTTTCTCATTCTCCGGTTATCAAACTGTTATAAACAACGGAAAGGTACCATGGAATTTTCCTCCCCGACTACCTTGGGGTGGGAGGCAGGAAGAGTCCTGGGCCACCTTCCCCCACCTGACCTGCCTCGGCCTCGGGGCTGCTGTCCTTTGATTTGTTTTGAATCCTAGGATTTGCCCAGTATTTTGTTGCTTTTTAAGTAAGTCAGCCAGATTTCATTTCATGGGGTGAAAAAATAAGTCAAGGTGTTTGCACAAGATTTTCTACAACTTTCTAAAGAGGGGAAACTGTGGATGAGGTATCCCATGCGATGATGTATTTTCAATTTGGAATTTCCTGAGTTTGAGCGGACAGTTTCAAAGTAAAGACTATGAAGAGACAGCTCATGGGGTCTGTGTCCAGGGCTGGTTCACACATGTTCTTGTCTCAGAGTGGGCAAGTGGCCAGGTGGGGCATGTTAAGTGATTCTTACCTAGATATGCTTGTGTCCCTCCCTACCAACCAAGTTTTTTTTTCCCCTGGAATCACATTCCCAATTTACTGTTACTTAAAATCTTACTGCATGAAATTTACCTCAATTTGCATATTCTCCAAAAAGACTGTACAAGGACTCCCACCAACATATCTATGCTTTTTGCTTCGTGAAATACCCATAATAATTTATGTCAGTGGCCTCCATTCTTAACACCAGATCACACATTCCTTTTAGCACCTCATTCCATAGCACCTCCTACAGGATTTGGTAGAATGCAGGGTGTTCAGTTAGCTACTGTTGAATTCTACCATATTTGTCAACTGGGATTCAGATAATCATAATTTAAGACCATTAACCTTTTTTTTTTTATTAGATTAGCCTGGATTAATAGTATCACATGCAAATGTATCCTCTGAAATTCTTAATGTTGATTTTAGGGAGAAACGGTGCAGAAGGGAACTTACACTGAGTTTCTGAAATCTGGAATAGATTTTGGTTCCCTTTTAAAGAAGGACAATGAGGAAGCTGAACAGTCTTCAGTTCCAGGGACTCCAACACGGAGGAATCGAACCTTCTCAGAGTCTTCCATTTGGTCTCAGCAGTCTTCTAGACCCTCTTTGAAAGACGGCGTTCCAGAAGGCCAAGACGTGAGTTCATCTAACGTTATAACCTAACGTGGGGCTCTTGGGGGGCCTCATGAATCTTCGGTCAGCTGTGCTTGTGGCATCCTCCTGTAGCTCTGAGGTTCTTTTCATGCCCAGAAGCTTAATTTGAAGACCCCTTAGCGCATGCCTTGCTGAGGCCTACGTTAAATCAACTACTTGTATGATTTGTTGGCATGTTCTGTCACTGCAGATAGCTGATGATATTCTTTGCCCTGTTTTCAGATGTGGGTCACCAGACCTAATTCCTTGAGCATGATTGACACTTTAGAGTTAATTCCTATCTTTTTTTCCCTTATTCTTCAAGTCTAAGAGCCACAACTTAATTCATCTCCGAATGCCCGGTGGCCAGCATAGGGCCATGAACATCCTTAATTTGTGTGAATCTAAATGTATTCTGCATTCTCAAGGCAGAAATGCATGAGACCTCCCTTTAAAGTAGAGTTATCCCTTGGTATTGATAGGGGATGGATTCCAGAACTCCTGCAGGTACCGAAGCCTGAGCATGTCCAAATCACTTGTATGAAGTAGCATGATATTTGTGTATATGCACATCTTTGCATATACTTTAAGCTATCTCTAGGTTACCTTAATACAGTGTAGGTGCTATATAAGTACTTTTATATTCAATTATTTAAGGAATAATGACAAAGTAAAAAAGTCTGTGCATATTCAGTTGAGGTATAGTTTTTTCCTCTGTTTTTGATCCATGATACAGAACCTGCGATATAGAGATCTGAGTGTATATATGGATATCCCTTGCTATCCAAACCCTCACTATCCAAACTGAGGAGCCTGGATGATTCTTTATAAATGACTGAGATGATAGCTATTCCTTGCTAGCCAAACTCATTACCCAGATGTACAGTTGCAACTCAAGTTACTAGATTTGGCCAACATTTTAGGCTCTACTCTGTTTTATTTGTTGTTGTTTTGGGGTGCTGGTGATGGAATTCAGAACCTCTGCATGCTAAGCACCCCCAGCGTTCTAGCGTATGTTTCCATTCTAGAGTGATGCAAATAATCTAAGTGATACATTAGTTCCACATCATTTTGTTATTTTGGAATAAGCCTCAGCATTTACACTTGCGTTTGAGTGTGTTAGGCATGTGCTGGAAATCACGGTGCTCTACTTAAAGCAAAGCCACACTACAGTGTACAAATGCTGCCCTCTGAGTTCCCATAGTGTCCCTCAAGTGGGATGGCTTGGTCCTGGAGAATGTATTTACAGGTTGGCAGGATAAAACTTGCACACCCTGCTAGGTATCTGCATACCCTACTCCGTGGAGGATGGATCCTTCTAGATTCCTACCAATCACATACAATTTGCCACTTTTCCCACGGCTTTGTTAACAAGATGTACTTGTCAGCTTCTGAAACTATCTTGGGTACTGTTTTGTCTGTTACAGACAGAGAATATACAGGTAACACAACCAGAGGAGAGCCGATCTGAAGGGAAAATTGGCTTCAAAGCCTACAAGAATTACTTCACAGCAGGTGCATCCTGGTTTATCATCATTTTCCTTATTCTGCTAAACATGGCAGCTCAGGTAAATAATATTTGCTTCCTCACATTTGCACACTCACGTTTATGTTGTGGTCATTGCATTCTGCAGTTCACTTGGGATTTGCACTGAAGTGCTGTCTAGGGGGACCAATGTGGGTAATGCTGACAGGGGTTGCCTGTACAGGACAAAGAGCTTCTAGAGAAGAAAGATATGTTATAAAGATTTAAAGGTGTGCTATGTGCTGTCCCCAACCTTGGTTGTCTGGGAAGTTGGGCTGGGCACAAACCCGAGGCAGAGGAACCTCTCAGTTTTCTAGAACCTTCCTTTTGACTACACACTGTCGTGGCATAGAGTTCTGAGTTGAAGTCATGCCAATGCTGGAATTTTTTTGTTCCCTTTCTCCAGGTTGCCTATGTCCTTCAGGACTGGTGGCTTTCCTACTGGTAAGTTATTCCTCCTCTCACCTGAAGTGCCATGAAATCAACACAAAACCTCACTCTTTGAGTTCAAGGGAGAGGTGGAGTTAAGCCTTCTCTTCTAATCCTCACTTAGCTGCCTGAAGAAAAATTAAAGTTCTTGCTGGTGGAGTGTGACCCATAATGGTCTCTATCCATGTCTGATCCTCAGCCGCATATTGGGAACTAAAAGTCACAATTCAAACTGAATTTTTATAAGGCAGATGTGTAAAGGACTTTGTGCACTGGGAGTCATTTTCCAGCACAAAACATTTTCTTCCAACTTGAGGTTCATTTTGTTTTTGGAGTTATCTAAATTCTATCCATAGCTTAATATTTTTTTTTCCTCTCCTGTTCGATAGGGCAAACGAACAAAGTATGCTGAATGTCACTGTACAAGGGGAAGGAAATGTAACTGAGAAGCTAGATCTTAACTGGTACTTGGGAATTTATGCAGGTAAAGTTTAATCATTTGGTCTATTATATGAGAGCCTGAGATGCTTACAATGAGCCAGTGTGAGTAACTGGGGCTTCTAGGAGTAATTCAGTAATGTCTTAACCGATTAGGAGGCTGAGTCGCATTTACTCTGTGAATTAATTAGAATAATTATTTTTAAAATCTACTAGAAGAAAGAGGCTGAATGGAGACTCTTAATTTGCTCTGTACTGGATTTTGAAAGTTAAACTAGGATTGAACATTCAGAAAATCAGCCACTGGAAATACGTGGCCATTGTCTATTCTAATAGGTTGCTTTAGCTAAATCTTATATCATTATATGGCTGGGCAAGGGGATTAGAAACGGATCCCCACCCTGCGGTTCGGATTGTTCCAATTCTGTCTGAATAAACCCTGGCTTTTATTGAACTTGGATGAAATCCTCTGGCAGCGAGGACCCCAAAATAAAAGCATTATACCCTCCCAGGTATGCAAAGCTCCCTTCTCCGCACTGCTCATCTCTCGGGCTTCACTAATTACTTAAGAGGGAAGCTAAGCAGGGAGAAACCCAGTGTCTGGGAATTAGGACTCCTCTTTCTTACCTGGTGATCACAATGTTATCGCATCCCCAACTGTGTGATTAATTTAACATGTGGCTTGCCAGACTAATATTAACACTGCACTCTATTTTTCATAAGAGTGCTTGGAATATATGTAGCATTACATACTTTTTAAAAGGAAATCCTCATCTAAAATTTTAAATATATCCACAGGAAACACTCACAGAAGCTTTCTTCAGAGGTAGAGTGAGTTAGCTTTGTAAGAACCCACTCACTGAAATTTGGCATTTTGTTGATTTCTTGCTAAGAAATCCAAATCCATTAGCTGTTTACTGTCCAAATGGGTGGATGAGCTGAAACCTGAAGGAGAAGGGAACAGGGTTCCATTGTATATTCAGCTAGGGCGGCGGGCTAAGGAAAATGCCTGTTAATGGAGTTTCAGAATTTGAGCAGCTTCCAGAGGTTAAATAATAGTGCTGTGTTGTTACAAGAGGAAATACTTATTCCTAAAGTTATCCCCACTCTAGCAGCTGTGAATTAAAAGGTATTAGGAAAGCAGGGGTTGGGGTTGCGTACTCATTTAATGAGTACGTTTTAATAAAATATATAATTTATTATATTAAAGATACTTTGTGTTTCTATAAATCCGTGGCAGATTAGTTGCTTATTGAGATTATTTTATGTTAAATATAATCTCTATTTTCTTGGAATTCGACTATTGAAGAGCTTTTCCATGTGCAACTTAAAGTGATATTCTCAAATTCTTTAAAGCTCCTTGGGCATTTCCTACAAGGAAAAGGTAAATCATTTCTCCTATCCCCTGTTACTATCACATACTGGTTCCAAAATATACCGGGATGTTAGACAGTGGGGCATGTTGTAAACAGTAAGATTTAGAATATGGAGAATGGGAGGATCAACTACTTAATAATGATTATCTTCTGGGTTTTTAGGAGAACGTGTAAATAAATTAGGAAAGCTTAAGATAAAATTGTAGTTTACACCTCATTTTTCCCCCATGTATCTTTCATTAAGAGAAAAACGAAGTATTTTAATTCTTCTTTGTCAGTGAATCCTGTGCACACATTGTACTTTTGTACTTGTTTTTAGACATTGCCTGACCTGCTTTCGCATCCAAGAAAATGCAGAGATCCTGTGTTTCTGACTGGTGTTTCCTTTTTTCAGGTTTGACTGTAGCTACCGTCCTATTTGGCATAGGAAGATCCCTGTTGATGTTCTACGTCCTTGTTAATTCTTCACAAACTTTGCACAACAAGATGTTCGAGTCGATCCTGAAAGCTCCAGTATTGTTCTTCGATAGAAATCCAGTAGGTAAGTCAGACGCTGCGTGTCTCAGTGTCTGGTTAACACCTTGAGATCTGGAGACACTGTAGTCTTTGAAAATGGAGGTGTCACTGGGAGAAAATCACTGTGGGTGTTGATTCATTTTCTGTGAAAGGCTTTGCTGTTATTTCCTCTACCAGAACTTGCAGAACTCTACGGAACTTGCAGCCTGCATTTTGATGTGTATGTGTGTGGAGCAGTGAATGGGTGTTCGCACTGCAGAATGACTCAGGAGTGCATTTGTTGCATGGTGTATGCAGCATCCCGCCTCCATGCAGATGTGTTTAGATGCGGTTGATTAGTTGCTAAAACACTGAATATGCTCACACTGCATTAGCCAAGATCCCTTCTGGAAGGGTTTCCTTAGAAGCAACGCTCTCTGAGCATGCGACAGCCTATGTGTTCTTTCCTTGGGAGGCCCATCCATTTTTGCTTGCAGTCCCTGAGCTTTTGAATAGGCTTACCTGAAATGGTAATGAAGAGTGAACTAAAACCTAAGATGAATAAAATGTCAGCACATCCTTCAGTAAAGTTTTAAGTTCTGTGTTTTTAAAAACTCTTTTCCTTTCTTCTCTTTGTTTCTGGTGGTTGTTACCATCACCTGTGACCATCTGTTAGCTTTGTGGTCTCAAAGTGGGCTTTGGGTGCATGCCAGAGGCTCAACGGTTCCCACGTGGAGAGCCTCAGTGGCTAGCGTCTCCAGGGGGAGTTTACCTGTTAGTCTCCCTCCGAGTGGTGGAAGCTGCGGCCCTGTACCCCTCTGACACGTCTTGGCTTCTGAAGGTGGGCTCTTTGCCTTGGGTTCCTGAGGAGGGAACCCAAGTCATTGCTGCATACCCTACCCTGGTCAGTTGGGTGGACTTGTGGTAAGACCCAGAGTGGTTTTGTTTGTGGAGATGGCCATTGAAAGAACCTATAGGAGCAGGGCAGCAGCCTGGCTCATGATTAGCTGTGTGACCAAGGCTAAAGCACGTGGACACTGTCAGGAGGCAAATCCCAATGCAGGATGTTGTGGCGAAAGTACAGACCCTGGAGCTGGCTGTCTGGGTTCAGTCTTAGCCCTGGAACCTAAAAGTAATAACTGGTTGTGGTAATGGTAACACTCATGTACTAGTTACTTAACTTCTCTTTGCCTCAGTCTGTTCTGATCTATGAAATGGGAATGCCATAATTACCTACCTTATTGAAATAGCAGGTTAGTGTGTTCCAGTGCTTGAAGCAGCACCTAACCCTATGGTCCCGGGCCCAGCTAATGTGAGCAACAGTGGCGAAGTCTCTGAACTTCTCAATCCTTACCTGTGGGGTGAAATAACTTCCCCTTTTTGGTTTTCTATGGTTGTTCTGAGATTTAAATAAGACTGAAAGCATCTTGAATAGATTCACCCAAGAAATGTTTAGTCTAGGCACCGTGTGAAGTTCAAGGAATTACGCACTGTGGAGACTGCACAAATAACATGATCTGACTGCAGCTGTAGTTAAAGAGTGGAGGACATCTGTACCATTAGGGTTATAAAACTGCTCCACTTTGCCAGTTAATTGGGAAACTATAGACATAACGTGTGAATCCTAGGGGACCCCTGCATTCTCTTGTCATGAGCCTCAGAATGCAGCAGACTACGGTTAACCAGGCCCTTCTCGGCCAAGACCCAAGGCTTTCCCTCATGCTGATTTGTTTATTATGTGGGACTTTGGGGCCAGCTCAATCTGGGCGCTCACTAATCTTATATCAGCACGTGGACATTCATCTTGCTGTCCCCTGCTCTATCTGTTGCATCTTCAGTGAACTAGGGACTTGTATGAATATTCTAGATAGGCCTTGTTTGCCCAGTATGTTTAGAAGTGAATTACTTACTCTTTCAGTGGTACGTTTAAAATAAATGAAAACTATGTTTTAGATTTCTCTTTTCACTTGGATAAAATGCTTGCACTTTTGTCAGTGATGAACATCCCAAAGCTAAATTATACCCAATAGTTTAGTTTATTCATTTACATACTGTCATGGTTCTGGAATAGTTATTAAAAGGCTCACCTCTGGGGTAGCAAGGTAGCACACTCTGTCTTTCACTACTGTTCAGTGTGCATGTTAAGTGTGTAGAAGCCACCAGCTTCCTGCCCTGACCTCCTTCTGAGTGACAGCACATGTTCTCTGAGCAGCATAAGGAGACAAGAAACGTAGGTGCTTTCTTCTTAGTACCGAGTTCAGAGCAAGCTCTCACGGGAGCCCCGGGGTCAGAAAGTTTCCTATGAGCAGCCCCCTGACATCCTCCCAGGGAACAGGAAGAACACTTGCCTGGTGTGGTGTCCAGGAGGCCATTGCAGGATGAGAGTGGCAGCCAAACTAAGCTCTAGGTTGAGCTCTGATCAGTTTTCCATCCCCAGGGCCCACAGCCGGGCCCTAGGCCTGACCAGACAGAGTGCCCTTCTCTCTCCTTCTCCAGGTGCCATTTGGGCAGGGATATTCTCAGCAACCCTGCCCTGGAATGTAGGAGTAACTTTTCCACCTTCCACGAGTTCTCTGGCCATCGTGCTGGCCCGCCTCCTGTTTCTTCCTAGACCCTCCTCCCTATTGCTAATCAGCGGGAGATCTGGTGTGTTTTGTTTGTTTGATTGGTTTTTTGAGACAGGGTCTTGCTTCATAGTGCAGGCTGGGCTTAAATTCACTATGTAGGCCAGGCTGGCCTCAGACTGTCTGTGATCTTCCTGCCTCAGCCTCCTGAGTCCTGGGATTCCAGACATGCACCACCACGCCCAGCCCCAGTGCATTTTGGTAATGGTTTATGTGTGTCTATTACGGACACTCGTATTTTCAGCAGTGTCCACATTTCCTCCACAGTTTGATCATGACCTCAGTCGGATAGTGCATTTCACACATTATCTGATGCTGTTAGTTACATCCGCCTCTTTCTCAGCAAAATTTGTTTTCACTCTTAGCCCTGTTGCAGTTCAATCACATCTGAATTAACGGGTCACGCAAATCCCAGGTCAACAATAAATCATTCAGAATTTAAGAGCTGATTTCTCTTTTAAATGGAAATCAGGTTTGCATTGCGTGGGCCAGATCCTTGCTACTTTTGAATTCGGCACAAGGAGGCAGTAGGCTCTGCAGAATGCAGGGACAGTCAGCGCACGCCTGGGAAAAACCCAGGTTTGATTTTAAACCTTTCTCGGAAATCCTATTTTTATGGCATGGGTCTTTGTACCTTGATATGTACTCACAGGGACTTTTAAAAGCATTTTCTTTACTTTTTGAAACATTAAAATGTGTTAAGGAAATACTAAGATCTTGTCCTGGAAAGCCTTGCGTTTCATATGAGGTATTTGGGTTCCACATTAATACTTTGCCTTGTAGAAACTGGAGTTGGCAGACCGGACTTCTTAGCTGCATGTATCTTAATTCCTAAAAGATACACTCTGGGTGCTCATATGACCCGGTTCTACTTCCTTTGAAATGTGAGTTTAGGAGAAAGAAAACCAGTTTCTTGAGTTTTCATCCACACCATGAGAGTCAGCAGAAACCTTTTATCCTGTCAAGTTTCTCAGCGCCCCCACCTTCCCTTGGTGATCGGACGAGTGGCTAGTTGTCCTACCTTCGCTTATCTAATTATGGTGACATAAAACGTGGCCAGCTATACTGATGTTAGTGGGCTCCAGATAAATATCTGTTTGCTTTTAACTCTGTAAAATCAGGTGTAAAGAACTGAGCCACTGGTGTCGGTAGATGTGGGTGTTTTTTTCTCTTGGGAAGTACAGAGTTTATCTTGGGTTATAACCTATTTGTTCATTCACACCATTAGTTTTTCTGTAGTGTGTGTGTATGCTCATTTATGCATTCCACACGGTAGAGAAAGTACAAATTTATATCATCATCTTTTCTTTATGACTTGATTTAGATGAGAACTAAGACACTAGAAAAAGAAAACAAAAAAAAAAAGAAACATGCTGACTTCTGTTGTATTTTAATTGTTTTTCCCCGAAGGTGCTTGTAGTCTCTATGGCATGCAACACAAGCAGTAGTAGCCTAGATTTTTGAGGCAGACATTCTCATAACCTCCTTAATCAAAAATCTAGAGTTGCCCTAATCCCAGTTCCCAGCCCAACTGAGCGGGAAATTAGGCTCTGTAGGTGAGTTTCTGAACGTAAAATATCCTGAATCAGGATGTGCATCTTAGAGGGGCTGGGAGGAGGAGGAGGGAGGACTATTGTTCCCTTTCTGTAACCTGGAAGGGGACTCCTGAATTCACTGCAAGTTACTAAATAACTTGCAAACAAGGGGAAAGTGAATTGAAAGTAACATGGTGAGCTTTTTGTGTTATCAGAAAGACTCTTGGTATACTACTTACAAAATCAGTTGCAAACATACAGCTGCCTTGCCAGAAAAGAAAAGTCATCAATAGTGAAGCACTCTAATTGCAGGGATGCCTATCTGTTTATTCAGTTCAAATGACCACTGGAGTTTGTGCTAAATGCATATTTTAACAAGTGTAATATTTCAGCACTGTCAAAATTACCTTGACAATAATAGGCCTGTTAAATTATAGCTCTATAAGTTCGGAGGTAAAATGGCTCTGCTTAGCACACATTAATCTATGCCTGTTCACACAAGTGCTTGTGCTGAGCAGGTAGCATGTTTGAACAAGAAATACTGGTCTTAAAACCTCTGATTTATGGTAGGTGTTGTTTTGACGCAGCGTCATTCAGACGATTTACAAGGCAAGGCTTCATGTTAAAATATCTCACCAGTGTCATCATTCGTCACTGACATAAATATTCAGTAGTGTTGCTGGAAAATTGGTAATATGCCCATTCATGCCAAATCACTCGCTGTGTTTCCTTTCAAGTGAGATCTGCTGTGGATATGGTTAAAAGAAGCTATGGTTTTTCTTCCTTGAGAGCAGATGAGCTGTAAGAAATTGAGAATAAGAGTAACTGTCCTGACAGCTTTCATGTACTCATTTTGCCTATGTTGTTTTTAATTCTGGCATAAGTCC